AACTGGCTCCTGTGTAAATTTTTTGATGTAACTCGTTGTTTATTTTTGTTTTTATTTTTGTGCAAGTCATTTAACGCAGTTATTTTGTTTTTGCGCAACCATTTTTTTGCATTGAATAGTATGCATTGAAAGTTTCCAAACAAATTATGGCATCCTATAGATAATGTTTTGATATTTTTGTAACGTTGTGGTTCAGTCATTATATCACAGTTTATCACTTGATAACTTTGGAGTAAGACTTGCTAGCGATTCCAAAAGAACGTTCATTTAGTTTGATCTGCCATTAGAACGTCATTAGATTGATTTGTATGAATTAAATGTATACGTCTCTGTAGCTAAGTGTGGTGTTATTTAAAGAACCCTTGAGATAAAATCTCAGCACGAGCTGGAGTGCCTCACTGGTGATATTCTTAGTGAACCTCAGAAATCGTGCGATGAAATATTTGCAAACCACGAAGCCTTATTTAAACTTGTGAGAACAAAGAGGACTGAGATTATCACAGGCAGTGAATCATTCTGAACAAATATAGCCGGCTTGAGCGACGATTGCCGCGTTATTGTTGGAAACATCGCTAAGAGACAACGTTGGAAGCTCTTTTGATGGTCTATATTTCAATGAACAAGCGCAGTCAAAGTTATGATGTCATATAACTGTGCGGTTGAGACGCTTTGACGCCCCAATCATCATGCCATAATTCACACTTTGGGACTCAATATGCCAGATATGGTTTCCGTTTAAAAGTCGGTTGGCGAAGCTTTCCTAACCCAACCCACCTTTCGCGCAGTCCAAATCGAGTGGGGTGGCGCGAAGCTTTGCTTGAATGTGAGGTATCTAAATTTGCCTGATATTTTCTGATATATTTTTGTTGATATAAGAAAACACACAAAATCTAAGGTCATTTTTTTCTGTGACTGGGCGTATCTTCTCCGGCTCATGCATCGCCAGACTCGGAGCCTAGGTATTGTAACAGCCGCTAGATGGTTCTGCGGGTAAGCGCCTGAATAATACTGTGCCGCATGGCTCAGCGCGGTTCTCTACTGTCACCAAATAGCTCTGGGTGTGCGCTTGCCTAATGTTCCGCCGCACGGCTCAGCCTAGTGCTCGCTACTGCCACTAGATGGCTCTGCGGGTGAGCGCCTGCCTAATGCTGCGCCGCACAGCTCAGCCAAGTTCTCGCTTCTGGCGCTAGATGGCTCTGCGGGGCTAGCGCCTGCCTGCACAGTGGGGTCATTCCACGATAGATCGACCAAAGCCGTACACCCTCATATTTTATTTTTTGCTTAAAATTGGTCGAATGGGTTGTTATGGGCGGGGAAGCCAGCTGTGCCAAGGATTTTTTTCTTCGAACAACGGTTTCCGAGATATAGCCTCGGGCAGTTCCTGGAGGTCACGCTGCAACCCTATGTTTGGCGGCTTATAACTCAGAAACTATTGGCTTTCTATGGTAAAAACTTGATATGGTTCAACTCGCAATCAACCAACAAACGTTTTGCCTATCTCGGATTTTCGAATTTTGAAAATTTTGATCACGTGACATCTTGATCTTTTTTTCGAAGAGTGACGTTGATATTTTCCCAACTGAAAGTCGCAATTTTGTCTGATGACGATTAAAGCCTTATCAATTGTCATTCATATGCGACAATAAAAAAGTGGCTTTCGGCCTGCATTGACCTGAGATCAGGTCATTTTTATGACCTGTCCAATATTACGAGCGGGAGCGACAGCGAGATCTCGAGACTAAAGCAAGATAGCGACAAGTGGTAAACGATACAGGATTCACACTGATAAGGTCTACAATTTTTACTGAGGTCATTTTAGGTCAGGTCAAAGATGACGTCACAGGGGTAAAAAGGAAGTCAAAATAGTTTTGGCTGTACCTTTTAATCCAATAAAGAAAGAGCCGTAGAATAGGCACCAATCCGTTTGCTTTCGCCTAGCGCCAGTTCGTTTTTAATTTCGATACCGATGACCTGAGGTCAGGTCAATTTCTTGACCACCCCATTATAAGTCAATTGGGGAAAAATCAGCTCCCTTATTTTTACACTAAAACGCGTCGGAATTGCGTAATATACCATGAGAGACTCCATATGCGACTAACTTTGACTACCTTGAGACCTTTTTTGCTCTTGGTCAACTGTGACGTTGCTCTTGGGTCATGTGACGTCATTAAATTAAGGTCACCAAATGTTTTTTGCTGATAACTCCTTGCAGGTTTGAGATACAGCCGAGCGGATAGGCTCATTGTGTTCAGCTCGTCAAGGCCCATCGAAAGATATATATATGACGACCTTAAGGTCACGTGACCTAAGGTCAACTTTTGACCTTGACCTTTCGAGGTCAACATACACATGTTTCGATGCGGATCGACGAGAGGATCACGATGGTGCTATTAGTTTGTTCCTAGCTGGGATACTTCGAAAATTATTCGAGAAAAACTTCATATATGTATATGTAGTGCCGCCATTTAGACTTTCTTTTTACCCCTGTGACGTCATCTTTGACCTGACCTGAAAATGACCTGAGTAGAAATTGTAGACCTTATCCATGTGTACCCTGTGCCGTTTACCGCTTGTCGCTATCTTGCTTTGTTCTCGAGATCTCGCTGTCGCTCCCGCTCGTAATGATGGGAAGGTCATAAAAATGACCTGACCTGAGGTCAACGCAGGCCGAAAGCCACCTTTTTTATTATCGCATATCAATGACAATTAATAAGGCTTTAATCGTCATCAGACAAAGTTGCGACTTTCAGTTGGGAAAATATCAAGGTCACTCTTCGAAAAAAAGGTCAAGATGTCACGTGATCAAAATTTTCAAAATTCGAAAATCCGAGATAGCCAAAACGTTTGTTGATTGATTGCGAGTTGAACCATATCAAGTTGAACCATATCAAGAAAACCAATAGTTTGAGTTATAAGCCGCCAAACATAGGGTTGCAGCGTGACCTCCAGGAACTGCCCGAGGCTATATCTCGGAAACCGTTGTTCGAAGAAAAAAATCCTTGCCACAGCTGGGTTCCCCGCCCATCACAACCCCTTAGACCAATTTTAAGCAAAAAACAAAATATGCGGGTGTAAATTTTAAGTTTTTTTGGTCGATCTATCGTGGAATGCCCCACTGGTGATGCTGCGCCGCACGGCTCGTTCTAGTTTTCGCTACTGCCACTAGATGGCTATGTGGGTGAGCGCCTGATTGATGCTGCGCCGCACGGCTCAGCATATTTTTCTTTACTGCCACTAGATGGCTCTGTGGGTGAGCGCCTGGCTGATACTGCGCCGCACCGCACGGCTCAGCCTAGTTATGTCTACTGGCGCTACAGCGTACATCGCTCTGTGGGGCTAGCGCCTGACCAATGTGGAATGCTGCGCCGCACGACTCTGAGCCCAATCTTTCCAGTTACCGATCTATTTAATTCGGTATGAATTCGTGGGAACCTGATAGTGAGTAATTGGAATGGCATTGCGATCAGTAATGTTTTCTTCACTCAACAGTTCTTCCGCTGATTGTGAGCGGAACATTGCACGGCACGGAAATGACATGATCTCCCTGCAATGTTTTTGTAAGCGCTTGCTTTAGACTAAATCGAAAAGAATGGGTAGGTCTATAGCTAACCTCTTTTATCGTTTACCGTTGATGTATACCGTATTATGAATAATTGTTGCAACTTTTTCCAACTCTCAGTCAAGTTATTGCCTTTATATGACAGCTCTGGAACGAAGGCGATTTTACAACAATATAATGAAATAATACATAGATCCATATTCCTTCATAATGCAGAGGCCCTACTTGATATCGCAAGATAACATTAGTAAATATTCAGAATTATTCCAATCAGACACATCTCAGAGCGAAAGTTGAGATCACTGTGAGTTCGTCACTGGTGGGCTAAGTTTGACGTGCTTTCGATAGTTTCATATGTGGTCCTAGGTTCTCTAAATTATAACATGGCATGGTAAAAAAAAACATTCAAATCCGCACTCCTAAGTTGGCTTCACCCACTTCACATCTCTTTTGATCACACTCTGCTTCTCATTTTCCGTGTCCCTCTGTTTTGCCCTCTCACTCTTCTCTTTCCCTTTCTTTCTGTAATGAGCATCGCACTGAACGGCACAGTTCGCCCCAATATCAGCGAGCGTTGCACAGTTCACCTTGTCTCCATAAGCGGCGCCCCTCTGTAGTGTCTATCTGCGTGTCCGGCCGCTGCCGGCCGGCGCTGGACCGGTCCCCAGAGATCGCCGTGGTCTGCCGCCGACCACCGCGGCTGTCTCGACCGACCTCCATATATTGGCGACGACCGGCCCGGCCGGGCCGTTACCCACCAAGATGGCGCTCTGCCTCGGCCGGCCAGAACCGCAGTTGCATTTTATTCGGTGGCTGGTCGGGCTACTGCGGTCTCCGCGAGACCGAGGACCGGGCGGCGGTCGACTGTATCCTGGGCGAGGACCGTGCAGGGAGGTCAGAGCCATGCTCGGTGTTTTAGCGGCTGTTCGAGACGTGCCAGCTTCTATTGAACTTCTTCAAGGAAACACCAATATACTGACACCGTTCCACGGCGTTCATGAATTCACACTAGCTGGAGACATGCCGAGTTGCCCCGTCTGTGTCCCTCGTCAGCGGTCCAACTCTGGGTTATTCTGCGTCACGTCTAAAAAAGCGTTATAATCGTCAATGGCCACGGTGGGCGTTCTGGCGACTGACTTTGTACCGTCCGTCATTGGTTGTCAATAACTGACCCTCTAATGTCTGTGGACTGAGCTGCAGCAGACTGTGGACTTCTAACTGTAAGGGACTAGGAATCTGCAAAAAAAAAAGTTGACGGTGCTGACAGCTCATAAGCTGACTGGGCGCTGGCACTGCTGTTTTGTGTGCTTTTGCTATGCAATTGCCGGTCGTTGCTGGTGGCTCATTCCGCCTCTTACTTCAGCCCTTCTCCTCCCTTCTCCTGCAGAACCCCCCCCCCTCCCACAGCATCTCTAACCACGTTCTGTCCTCCCCTCCACAGGGCGGCGGTAGTGCTATGATGCGTAAACGCTCCATGCTAGAAAACACCTGCCGAAGCATCTCGTCCGTCATCGATATCCCGCTGACGCTGAAGATGCGGACGGGTGTGTTCCGCGGCGCCAACATCGCGCACGACCTCATCACCTCTGCCGCCGACTGGGGCGTAGACATGGTCACGGTAAGTACTTCAGCAGCGGCCTCCTCCCCTTGCGGCTCCCCTATGACCTGCCTCCTTTCCCAGGGTGTGGGTGTGTGCTGGGTGTGGTTCCCAGGGCGTGTTCGTGGATTCTTCTCCCCATGGTGAGAGTATTCTGCGGAACCCAGTCAGTGTGACGCCCCGTCCCCTGGGCGATTGTTGGGTATTTCTCCCCGGGGTGAGAAGGGGTCTTTTGTGGTGCCCGGTCGATGTGAGTCCCCTGGCGGATACTTTTCCCTTGGGATGTGAGCAGCGGGCTCTCCGTGGTGCATGGTGAGACGGAGGCGATGGGTGACATGATCTGATAGGGAAGTCTGCTGACGTGGAGAGGGGAGGAGCTCGTGGAGGAGAGGTGGGGCGATGACAGACGCGACACCGGACCGCTAATGAGAGAGCACACTGCGGCGGACAGAGGCGACGGGGCTGTGATGACGGAGCCTGCTGCGGGCGTGGACCGGAAAGGGGAGGGTAGGCTGGGAGCCTCTGAAGGTGTGGACTAAATCACCGTCCATCCACGGCTCAGTGATAAAGTAGAGCTTGAATGGAAGTGGAATAGAAATGAAAGGAGTTAGAAGTGTAAAGTAGGTGACGTGAAGTGAAGGGCGGAATTGAGTGAGTGTGGAGAGTGGAGTGGGTTGGGGTGGGCTCTTAGGGTGAAGTGTAGAGTTGAGTTATGTAAAGTGGGTTAAATGGAGTGTATGGAATTGAGATGAATGGAATCCAGTGATCGGGAGTGGCGTTGAGTGAGGAGGAGATTGGGAACAGTGGTGCGGAGCGGGTTCTATTTGGATGGATAGCGAGCGGCATGAAATGGTGTGGAGAGCTGAACCGAGGCAGAGTATTGTGGACTGTCGAGAGGAGAGGATTGAAGCTGGGTAGTGGGTTCAATAGGATAAACTGGACTGGCGTGAACTGTTGATAGGGTGGACGGGAGGGGTAGGGTAAGCTAACTCCGGAGGAGAAGTGGACTGAAATGGACTGAAGTGAGCGGATGGACTGGCCTGGAGTGACTGGGAGGACTGGCATGGAATGGCTGGATGGACTGGCCTGAAGTGGGCGGAATGGGTTTGCGCCGTTGAATGGGACTGGGTGAAGTGAACGGGAGCCGCTGCGCCGCTGGGCGGCGGCGCCGCGGCCGTCGGCCGGCCGCCGCTCTCGAGCCGTCGCCGGTCGATGGCGCATATTGACTGGACATGACGGATGGACGCTGCCGGAGACGACCGCTCGAGATGGCGCCATCCTTTGGCCAGAGCCGGCGGCCGGCTGTGGTGAGGGCCGCGGCGGCGGTCGGTCCTCAGACGGTCCGTGCCAGGAGGCGGACCGGCGACACGCAGCGGGCGGGCGCACGTCCACACTCGCCGCCAGCGATGACTGATTGGACGCTGTCACAGACGCTGCAGCCGCGAACAGACACGGCCGACGATACAGGGAAGTGATTACGGCGCTGTCCCCCGCCCCGCCCCTATCGGCCGCCGATCGGGCGCGGCACGTCGCTGCCCACCCGTGATTGGCCACAGGAATGCTGACGTAGACCGAATGCGTTTGACTAGAAGAGCCGATAGAAATGTCATTCATGTTTATTCTGAATGACCGCATCTCTCAAACAATTCGAAATATTTCATTCGGAAGTAATGGCAGCCTTCTGAATGAATCTCGGCAGGGGTTGTCTCAACCAATCGCGTCAATATGACGAGCGATTCGTTTTAATAGCTCGGACAAACATATAAACCGGTATCACACATTCAGCTCCCAACGGAACGCTCCTCTGCATCCTACTAGAGCGCGCGCGGCGACAAGCCTGTAAACGTCACGAACCTGATCCAACACCTCAGATCACACGGAATGCCAACTGATTGCACTGCTCTCGCCGCATCACGAACACGACTTGAGATCACGGTCGCCCGGCTTAACGATGGACCTCGGGCTTTCCCGGCTGGTTTACCTCACGGACCCGTCGTGGGTCGGCGCTGACCACCATCTCGAAGACTCAGACGTCCGACCGGCCGGCCGGCTCCGCCGAAGGGCGACTTGGCTGAAGAGTGGCGAGCGCTTGCGCTGCTGGGTCGTGCGCTGTTAGTGGATGGTTTAGGGACGGTCATCAGCTGGTGATCTGCGCTGCTACTCTCACGCCGGCTGCCTTTGTCTGATGGATTACAGAGGCTGGGCGGACGCGGCCCGTTATGACCCGCCCCTGAACCGACGCTGGCCTGAGCTTTAGCGCTCGCCACGAACATCGCCATCCGGTTACGTACCGCTTCTAGCCGGCCTCGGTCCGATCCTGGTCTCGGGGCGGGGCGGCGGGAGGGACGGTCGGCCGTCGTCGCCGCCGCCGGGGTGTGGGGACGGAGGGCGCTTGGCCCATTGTCCGGCGCGATGCGATGACGCCTGGCCGGTCGGCGGTGCCAAGTCGGCCGCCGGCGGAGGGAGAGAGCGAGATGGCCGCTCCGCCTGATGACCTCCGCCGCCCGCCGCTATCTCCTCTGGCCGGAGACCACTGCCGTCGCGCCCTGGCCGCGGCCACTGGTGGCGAGGTCAGCCAGCCGTCATTGTCCGTCCCTGTCTGGCTGTGCAGCCGGTCGCCCAATGCGCGGCAGTGCGAGGCTGTATGGAGAGCTGGCGTCGTCCCCGGTCACTGGCGGTACACCGTCACTCGGCTCCGGGCCTGGCTGCGCTCACCGGCCGCGCGCTCGGTCGCTCACTCACACTGGGGCGCACTAGGGTTGCACTGAGGGCGGGCGGGGCGTCCTGTCGCGCCCGGCCTTCGTCACGTCCTGGTTTCAAACACGTCGTGCGAGGCGTACAGCCAGTAGACCACGCCGGCGGTCACCAGCACGGCCAGAACGGCGCTCACAACGCCGGCCAGGCACTCGGAGCCGTAGCCGACAGCGTCCGGTGCGCTGTCGCCGGCGGCTGCCGTCCACGGCCGTCGCCGCCGCCGCCGCGACCAGGCGCAGCCCCAGCCGGCGCTGGACTCGCTGCCGGTGGGTGAGCACGGGGCGCGGGGCGCCGGCTTCACCTCGGGCGTGGCCGGGATGACGCGGATGCTGACGGGCCGGCTGGGGTCCGGAGGCGGCGGCGGCGGAGGTGGCGGCGGCGCCGCGGACGGTACCGGCGGCGGAGAGGCGACCGGTGACGGCACTGGCAGCTGGAGCGACCTCCGGCGGCTGTCGTAGAGCGCGAACTCGTCCAGCGCGGCGACCACGGAGCCGCGCCGGCCGCGGTCGGTCAGCTCGGGCAGCCCGGCCGGCGCGCTGGCCACCACTGTGGGCCCGGCGCGGCGCGGCCCCAGCGCCCGACACAGCAGCGCGCTGCCGTAGCCCATGACGGCGGCGGGCGCCGCGCGGTGGCGCGCCGCCCGCGGCCCGTTTGGCGTCGACTGGCGGCCGACGGCGGCGCGCCGGCCGCGGGCCGGGCGGCGCGTCGGTGCCATCGGCGCCGGCCTGCGGCGGCCGCCGGCGCGCCGACTGCCAGGTGGCCGCCGGGTCGGCCGGCCGGCCAGCGCCGCGCGCCGATCCCATTACGACCGCGCTCGGCCGCGGCGGTAATCCCCGCCGGCGCCGGTCAGCGCGGCCGACGTTCTAATCCGCGCCACCCGGTTGGCCCCGGAGGTAATCCGGCGGTAAGTGGGGTCCGTCACCTGCCCGGACCCGTCCCTCGGCTATGCCTCGTCCGTCCGTCCGCGGTGGGGGAGATTCCCCCAGAGAGTCGCCGATAACGAACGCCGCTCTGTGAGCGAGCTGGCGGTTGTCAACAGAAGAACTACGGTCTTGCTGTAACCAAGATCTATCATATTTCACCAAGGCATTGTTTTCATATTGCAGCCGAATCCTGCCAAAGAGCCTTTGTTAAAGGCATCTACTGCCCTGTCTACTGCTTCAAATTCTTGCTATTTCCGTTATTTTGATTTTTTTTTCTGAGCGTTCTTTATTTTTGCAAAATGTTTTTGCACGCTCACTTTTATCGTTTGCTCATCTTCTCTGGCATACCTATCATTTTTGAAACGAATTTACAATGCATCACGAAGCAAACTTGGTTTTCAATATGTGAGTTTAACTCGAACTGCCAAGCACCACTGTTGTACTGCTTATGCCGCACATGGCATACACCGACAAGTTACAGTCGCAGTATATCCGTTCAATGCATATTTTCCTTGGTCGAGTTCCATGCAGCTGGGAGCAAACCCTAAATTTGGATTGATGAGAAGAAAAAACTAAGGTTTTTTCTGGAGCCAGTTTCGCTGTCAATCATTTTTCGACATCTTGAAAGGCCGAAGGGTTAACTCCCCCACCCCTGAGGGTTTTCGCGAATATCTAAAAACTCCACCGTTTTTTGGCACATTTTATCATACATTTTTAGCAACGTGAAACTCAACCCAAGGTCTCTCGAGGTCAGGTCAAGTGATCCACCTCAAAATAAGTTCCAATGCTTGCCATAGCTACAACGAGTGACGTATCGCTTTGAAACTTTCAGCATTCCAAAAGGGCAGCAGTATGTACGAAGTGTATGCCACAGAATTTTGATATCGCTGACTAAAGGTCAGGTCAATTTTGCGACCTCTCCATTATAAATCAATGCGAGAAAATTGAAAGGTGTCTTTTTTGGAAGAACCTCATTCCTAACATTCTCAAGCACCGAGTTACAAGTAAACATAAAACACTGAACCGGAAAGTGGCACCCGTGACCCCTTCTCATGTCGCTGAGGTCTTTTCAGGTCACGAAAGATATGAAACATTTTGTTTTCTAATAACTTTTGATAGAGGCATGCTAGAGCGATGGAAACACCTTAGATGTGTTGTGCTTGACGATACGTATCGATTGCTACCACGGGCGTAGGAACGTCATGAAAAGTGGGTGGGCCACCCTGTCAAGGGGCCTCCTTTTCCAGGGGGCCTCCTATTTTCAGGGGCCTCCAACTTTTTTTTTTTAATTTTTTTTTTTAAAGAAATTTTGTCCGAATGGATGAATGGGTGGCTATGGGCCCG